TCATGGTGTTGATCATTGGATTGTCTGGTCTAGACTCGATTATTTACAGACAGCCGCCATATAGCTGGAATATTGCTGAGTGCGGCGTAAAACTAAACTCACTCACTATGGACGTAATGTGTCCCACTCATCTACGGTCCCACAATGTGATGTGCTGAGTTGCGCCATAAGACCTGCCAGAGCCCTAAGACTCGCCATTATGGTTTGCCTGCACCATACTGCTGCAGCGTTAAACTGAGTGAGTGAGTGAGTTTAGTTTTACTCCGCCTTTAGCAATCTTCCCGCAATATCAGGCGGTGGATATCATAAATAGTCTCCACACATTGTACCCATGTGGGGAATCGAACCCAGGTCTTTAGCGTGAAGAGCGAACACTTTAACCACTAGACTACCCTACGTCAACCTCTCACGAAACCTGAGTGAAATACAAGTGATGTGTGTAATAGTTCACAACTGGACAAATATTCCTGATTTCATTGGTTTCACTTTAAGCTATAAAACAAATTCATACAGAATTAATAATAATTTGTATTTTAAACAAAACAAAACCCATATGAATAAATATTTTAATTATTTGATACAATTTACAGCAAAATTGAAAGTAAAGGTAAATTTGGTTAAAACGTGTTTGCTTCTGCAAGGATACACAGAGGGTATAGAGGCGTTCTTGTCTCTCACCATGCATAAATGCATGTTTCTCATCAGTCGTATCTGCCCATCTTTGTACAACCAACGCTGGTTTAAATTTTTCTTCTCGCAGTTCCGTAAAAATATTTTATTGTTTGGTTGAAAAGTAACGCACTGTCCATTAACGATTAACTTGGAATTGACCAAAGTGAATGGTTCCGAGTTTGGAGCAAGTTCAGAGACAAAGGTCAACGATCCATTTCGTGACCTTGTAATATAAAGGTCATGACCTTCAACATACAAAGCACCATGGTTGGTAGTATTGCGTACAGGTTTGATGAACTTTGGTTGCACAAGGTTGATAAATTCTGGGAACTTTCTACACTTGAGACGATTATAAAACAATTTGTACATCCGGATATTTCTCTTCTCGATGTAAGACAGTCGGACCTGTTTTGACTTGGGAAGGAGACATTTGTAAACTTCATCATAAGGTGGAAACCAGACGGAAGCAACGAACAAAAGATGGCGGTATCGTTTTAACAATGTCGTCTTGCTGGTCGCAGAAGACGGTGCTGTTAAACTCCGATCAGCAGTGCTGGTGGGCGACTGAAGTATCACAGTGGCACACTGCGCCGTGACGACGCCTTCTGCGCACATCCACGACTTTAGCGACAGCACCATCGTTTCCAGATCAGTCAATCCAGAATATTCATCAAACTCTCTCAGATTTTCATAAAGCTCTTTTCTCAATGCAAACGCTGTGCTCGAGATCAATGATTCCTTGATCAAAGAATTTTCCGCGATTGAAACAGGAACTTTAACCTCCTTCAAGGTCAGATCTAATTGGATTTCTCTCTTATGAATATATTTGGGCCGACCGTTTTTATCCAGCATAGTATGGTTCGTGATAATCAACGGTTGGACAATGCTGTTTGGATTTTCCAAGATGGCCGCCATAATTTGTTCAAGCCAATGTTTTGTTACCACGACCAGTCCGTCAAGGAAGACAAGAACCTCCCCGTGGGCAAACTTCGCAGCATATTTCCTGGCTTGAGTAACAGTGGTCCTTTTGGGTGATATGAAAAGTCGGAATGTAGGAAGATAATCTGAAACGATTTCATACACGTCACGGTAGAGAGTTGGAAGTCCCATGTCGCCAATAATTATCACATCTTCCACAAGGCTGATATTTGTCAGTTTTAGAAGGTGAAATAACGAAGTCAGTCCTTTATCAATCCTGGCACCATGTAAGGTGATGATAATTGTCACTTTGGAACTTGTGTTTATTGGCTTCATATTTCCACAAGCATCACTCTGGAAGTCAATTTCCGGGCCGTTCCATGGAACGTTGAGCATTTCAGGCGCACCTCTTTTCTTTAGTGATAGTGTATATTGTTTCAATAACGGTTTGATTTCGTCCCTTAATCCTGAAATATTTCCCCACGTAGGCTGTTCGTCCGGACGGGCGTAAGCTTTTAGTATGACGTCAGAATCCCGGGATATGACGTCATAGGAACGTAGCGTCTTGACGACGCTGTTGTTCAGCACAACATACTGCGACACAAAGAAGATGGAGTACAACAGGACGATTCCTATCAACCAGGCCAGGAGATGGCGCCTGCAGGCTCGGCACGTGCGCTTCAAGAACGGTAACACCCAGCAGCCTGGCTTCGCCATTATCTGAAACACAAGAAGTCAATTGAATTAAATCAATACAGTAATAAAATATAAATAGAACAACAGAGCTTGTTATTTAGAGTTTTATTATATATTTTGACATAGCTGCTTCCCGATAAGACTGATGACGTCACAGTTCTTCACGATAAGACAGAAAATGTATAGTACAGTCCAGATATATATAGAAGCATTCCGATATTTCCATATATCCTTTTAGGTGGCTCTCACTGCTGATTGTCCTGACATTTTCATAAGTGATTAAATAAGCAGATTTTAATGAATAAAAACTCTTCATTCCACTAGTGTTGAATTGGAAACGTGCAACAGGGTCGTCTTTGAGACTTCTCTGGGTAGCGCCATTTCACAGTTCTTCATTGATGAGTACGATCTGTCATCCATTTTCCAGGGCATTGTTGACATTGTGAAGTCAGTTAAGTGTCTCTGTAGGGTAAGACATTGACGTTTCATACTCGTTTTCTTTATTTTCTCTTAATGTCAATGAGTAACACTATCAGATACGGTTCTTACGATTTCAAAATGATTACAATGTACTACTTTTAGGTCGTAATACTGACTGACTGACTGAGTTTGGTTTTACGCCGCTTTTAGCAATATTCCAGCAACATCACGGCGGGGGACACCAGAAATGGGCTTCACACATTGTGCCCATGTGGGGACTCGAACCCGGGGCTTCGGCGTGACGAGCCAACGCTTTAACCACTAGGCTACCCCACCGCCCCTTTAGGTCGTAATAACCATAGCTCGTTATACGCAGTTCGTCATATTAATCGTTATACGCGTGTTTGTCATTAGCGTTGTTTTCGCTGTACAGAATAGTAAGTGAGTGAGTGAGTGAGTGAGTGAGAGCACTCAGCAATATTCAAGCTATATGGCGGCGGTCTGTAAATCATCGAGTCTGGACCAGACAATCCAGTGATCAACAGCATGAACATCAATCTACGCAATTGGGATACGAGGACATGTCAACCAAGTCAGCGAGCCTGGTGAATAACCTGCTCGACAATGGGAAATGCGTATTAATGATATTATCTGTCCCAAGTGAATGAGCGCTGCGTGTCCCTTGCTAGGGCTCATGATGGTAAGCCGGAATTACCATGATATTCCTGAAAAATAAACATTCCTTTTTGTGTGAATGAATTGTTTTGCATGCATGGTAACGAGATATACGGTTTAGAAATAACTTGAAAAAAAGAACACTTAACCTGTATTTATTTATCTCATTTGTATGGATTAACCGTTAATGGCAGTTATGTTCCTATATTTGTTTTACATAATAAGAAGTTTCCGATTAATTAATGTAACCATTATGAACTCAGTATGTCTACATCCCAACACTGGCTGAGCCCAATACAGAAGAAATAATACTGTAGAAAATGATTGATTTGATACGTGAGCAAACACATGACTTATTGCAAAAAGTTAATATCCGCCAAATAAGATCAATATCACTTTTAAGGGACCATAAAGTGGGAAAATATATGAGCAATCAATATACCACAGTACAGACACACCGTGTGTAGTTACAGAGGCAGTATTACATAACTAGTTTATCGTGTAGATGCGTGCGGATGAAGGGTCACCCCGTCCGCTAACTACAGATAAACACATAAACCTCATATTAGGGTCCCGCGACCTTGAGAAACAGTAAGTCAAACACTGCACGGTAATAAAGTCAAACAGTTCTCGGATACTGGAGAGCGAACACTTCGATCATGTCATGATCATCAATAGAACTGCGACTCTTCATTGGTTCGCAAGGTTCTCATAAAAACCCTTTACGAGACTTCCATAAATTTCGGTTTCTAAGATGGGAATATTTGAATCTGGATTTGATCGACGACTCCATATACTCAATGTAATAAGAAAGCTCACACCGGGAGGAGGTGAGTGTGCTTGACAGCAGTCATAAGTCATACATCTTGGATCTCAAACCGGGGCTCACACTACCGTGCTATTTATTAATCCAGGAGGTTTCAACGCGGTTTTCAACCACGTGTTACACACACACACACACACACACACACACACACACACACACACACACACACACACACACACACACACAGAGAGAGCGAGAGAGAGAGAGACAGAATAAGAAGTAGGCAATAACTGGTGTGTGCAAATAGGGAAGAACATTGTCAGGAATATTGATTCTGTAGGCCGTCGGTATTGCTCGAAGACGTTCTGTAACATCTGCAATATTAAAGCTGAACCGGATGACAAGCGGCAGTATGTACAGGCATGGTGGGTGAGTGAGTGAAGTTGACGCCGGGGTAATACCTTCCCACTTGTAAAATTTAAATGATGGAGGGCGTTCATCTGTTTGAACCCAAGGTCGGTAATTCATGTAATCTATGCACACAACTGCCAATTGTATCAAGTAGAGCGAGTGAGTGAGTGAGTTTAGTTTTACTCCGCACTCACCAATATTCCGGCGGCGGTCTGTAAATAATCGAGTCTGGACTAGACAGCATAAGCATCGATCTACGCAACTGGGATACGATGACATGTGTTAACCAAGTCAGCGAGCCTGACCACCCGATACCGTTAGTCGCCTCTTACGACAAACATGGGTTGCTGAAGACCAATTCTAACCCGGATCTTCACGGGTCGTATCTAGTAGAATGTAAGCAGATATTAAATCATAACAGCAGCCAGTGGCATCTATCATCAAATGATAGTTTGCTCTTTGCGCATCAGCTACATTCGTCGATCGAGCATAGGATGTGTGAGCCATGCACAAACTGATGGAGTGCAGTAAGACAAGGCTCACACAAATGACCCTGTTTGGGAATCGAAAGTAGATCTTTGTTCGGTACGAGCAACCGGACAAGCTGGTGATCTAATTATGTGAAGCACATCGACACCGGTACAACTGATGCGAAAAATCCTTTGACACGTAAACACACAAGTAGTGAGTGAGTGAATTGGGTTTAGCAATATTCCAGTAATATCACGGCGGAAATGGGCTTTAGGCCGTTTCGCCGTGACGAGCAATAACCACTTCCAGTCCCGATATACACGTAGTGAACGGCAATCGAGGCTTGAAATGAAGATGATAAAGCCGTCATTAGTCCTAGAGTATCAATGAGACTAAAAGGGTTTACCAGCAGCTGTCGAGACCGAATTGGAAATACCTTCGAACCGTGACGAGGTACAAACGCTTTTGAACCACTAAGCATACCCCGAACGTCGCTGTTCTTTAACACAGATATGCAACGATATGATCGAGTCTGCGAACCTCTCAGGGAATCGTAACACTAAGTAATAGTGTAATAGTATCTAATTGGCCCTTGCGGGCTTCACTGGAAATCACGGGGTCTTCACAATCCGACATTCCGTGAGTGAGTGAATTTAGTTAAACGCCGCTTTTAGATATATTGCAGCAATATCACGGCGGGGGACACCATTAATGGGCTTGACACATTATCCACGTAGGGAATCGAACCCAGGTATTCGGCGTGACGAGTAAACGCCTTTACCACCAGCCTACGCTACCGCCCCCGGCATTCAGAGTTTTCAATAACATTGCTTTTGCAAATTAGTTGAATACAAAAGTTATCAAACCTTCTTCCAAATATAGTTTGCCTCGTATACATGTTTATTCCCCTTCGGGTATATTTGTATTGCACGCAATTTTATTGGGTATCGAACCCAGACCTTGTGTATGGTCACAATGCAACACTGCTGCCATGGTCGGGACCAACATAACATCTTGATTAAAATGGGGAATCTAACACTAGATTTCAATTACTCCATACATGAAAATATACTGCAGAGAATCGAAATACCTGCGTGATCGCTTTTTGATTGAGACCATTTTTGCTGCTAGGCATGAAAACACCATAAATCAACTACAGTTCCCCTCAAGTGGCCCTGTGTGTGTATAATCGATTATACGTAATCGGTTTAGATTAAGACTTGATTACATCTTCCGATCATCGACGGTCTGGCTGCGAAGAGAAAGCAACGATGCATTTGACGCCGCCGTTGACATTGACGTTAGCGTACACAATCTACATACTGTTAAACAGTGCTGTGTCACTGCCACTGAATGCGAGGTAATGATGTATTCATCATCTGGTGGCTGCTGCGATAGGGTCTAACTGAATAACCCGGGGTCTAGCTGGTCTGCGGCAAGGATGCCGGCTCACACCACTCCTGTCTCAATAGTGATTACAGTTGTCAATAGTGATTACGTTTGTCAATAGATACTTTCTAACATAATCCCAACTCGTCCGAATTTACATAATAACATGACAATCAATACTGTCCGAGAGTAACACAAGTTTCTGCGATAACTAACGAGAATTAAATCATCTCCTCCAACGTATCTCTTATCGGAGTCATGCTGCTGTCCGTGTCTGTGTGTCAGGACCAGTCTGGGATACGTAGTGATGATAATCAAATCTGGGCGCAACACGTTAAAGTTTATATTTAGATGGTCGTATGTACACAGAAAGACAGCCAAAATTAGTGTAATAATGTAATTTGTAGAACCTGTAAAATCAAATTAATTTACTGCGTCAACCAGTCCATGCCAGACAATTAAGGTTCTTGAACTGAGGTGTAGAACTATAAATAACTATCAATTCAACTTCATAAATATATTGACAATTAATACCTTGATATTGTGAAACTGTATTCTTTCATGTGCCATCAATATATTTGTTCGTCTTTGTTCTCTGTCTCTCTTTTCTTCCTTTCTCTCTCAGTCTCTTTCTTCGATTTAACGCTTGCCTATCTGGATACATGTTATAAACGCAGGCAAGGTCACGTGTCTCATCAGGTGACCCTGACCTTGTTGGAAGGGACAGACGTGACATGATTACGTTTAATTACATCACACTCCCGTCAGACTCGCACATGCAGCGTGACTACATTTAGGTAAATTCCAGCCGTTTGACATTTTAGTTTGTGTATTTTCCAATTTTAATGTGTATTAAAACCTGCCAGCCTCAACCTGATTATTTGATACTGCGAGCCGTTTGTATTAACTACGACGTTAATATATGGCGATTGTATCAAAACGGCATTAATCTCTAAAACACCTGTTCTTGCGGCGTCGAGTTTCCACGAAGTCCCATTAAGCATGTATTAATATTTCAATATATAATAACATAATACTCGTTTCAATATGCAGCGAGAAAAAATACATGTGACAGCTGAATATCAATCTTTCCACTGTACAACGTTATTTTTTCTCAGAGTTTTTGAATAAAATAGTCATCCCGTCAAACATTAAATTCGTAGATAAAATGTAACGGCGACGTGACTCCGCATATTGCGTTATGCTAATTTTATGAGTTTTTTTTAGAAATGCAACGCTGAAATAATGCATGACTATCAGAAACATAAACTATTAGTTTTTTTCCCCAAGATTAAGCTACACAGTTTGTTCATTTTTATACTCAGAACACAGCAACTAACATACGAACATGAGAGAGAGCAAGATCGGACAAAAGAAACAGATCATATGTGACGAAAGGTGCTATAGCCAGTGACGTCATTGCACAATGACGTCATTACATTTAGCTGTGAGCTGCGATAACATATGTTATTAAGAATATTATACTTTCATACCTTTATGTATGAGCCAGTAAATGGGCATGTATATCTCGGGAATATGATGACAAGCGTGTATATGTCGCGTGTATTTACCGTTAACAAACATATGTATCTCGAGTGAATATTTACCACTAACAAACATGCACATATGTTGTTTATATTAACCGTTCACAAGCGTGTTGTCTCGCACATATATTGATGTCTAATAAGCATGTTTATCTCTTGCATATTTACCATTAACAAGCATGTATATATATTTTGTTATTCAGACATTTTCATTTAAATTTGCAAGATCAGGCTTTATGTATCCAAACCTATCGAGTGTATTTTATTCTATTGTTAATTTGATAAATAATTCGGACTCATTTGCCCACATATACATATCTTTGCTTTGAGTCCGATGGGGGCGGTGGGGTAGCCTAGTGGTTAAAGCGTTGGCTCGTCACGCCGAAGACCCGGGTTCGATTCCCCACATGGTACAATGTGTGAAGCCCATTTCTGGTGTCCCCGCCGTGATATTGGTGGAATATTGCTAATAGTGGTGTAAAACCCAACTCACTCACTCACTTTGAGTCCAATGGGTATGCAACAACAACACAAATGTCCGTCTCCTATGTTGATATGGAGACAATATCAGTAAAGGCTGTGATGTCACCGAGAAAAGGTGACGAGGAAGTCCAGCGTAGTTGGAGTGTGTGTGAGTGTATGTCTGTGTGTCTCCTTGTATTTCTCCCAACTAATGTCGGTCTCATGGTGCTGACCCAACATGGATGCGCAACCCAGACTCAGTATCCAGTCTCCATGACGACAGTTCCTGTTTCATCCCTGTATTGCTCAGCGTAAGGAAGGAACACACCAAGTCAAGTACTGATATTTTAACGTTTTTTGAAACGACACAACTTGGGATCGAACCAGCGACCTTCCGCTCTCCAAGAAGACGCTCTATCCACAGGACCACAGAGTGGTGCTTGTAGTGAGTGAGTGAGTGAGTGAGTGAGGTTAGTTTTAAGCCGTTTTAGCAATATTACAGCAATATCACTGCGGGTGACACCATAATTGGGTTTCACACATTGTACCCATGTGGGCAATTGAACCGGGTCTTCGGTGTGACGAGCGAACGCTTTAACCACTAAGCTACTACCCCGGTGCTTGTACAGTGGCTGTATCAGTCACACTACATATAGTGCCACGTCGGCATCAAGCAGTTGTCCCCTTAGAACTCATGGACTGTTACGACCCGTGAAGGTCCGGGTTAGAATATTGATCTTCAGTAGCCCATGCTTGTCGTAAGAGGCGACTAACGTGATCGGGTGGTCAGGCTCGCTGTCTTGGTTAAGACATGTCATCGGTTCCCACTTGCGCAGATCGATGTTCATGCTGTTGATCACTGGATTGTCTGGTCAGACTCGATTATTCACAGACCGCCGCCATATAGCTGGAATATTGCTGAGTGCGGCGTAAAACTAAACTCACTCACTCACTCACTCATGGACTGTTACGAGGGTTGTCTCAGTACTCGGAATATAATATGTCACAGACTGCAGCCAGATATCACTGCACATTGTCGATTGACCATCTTGTGAGCCAAAGTCAATAAACCTGCCGTCAAAGAATACTATTTTGGACAAGTAGTCATTTAATTATACAAGTAGCGACTATTGTGTATCTGCGCGCACAAAGTTCAGACAGGAATCACATTCGGCGCTGAGCATCGGTCTGGATCGCTGGGAGTAGACGCTGGTCTGACTCAACCCTCATTTGTAGATGCTTTGTGTAGGATTGAAATGTAATGAATTGGACGTGTATTTAGACCCATATAACACGCACAGAAAACGGGAATCACTCATGGAAGCGATCGAGATAACCATTCAGAACAAAAACCAACTCAATCCTCACACTGTACGTGTTCAGTATTGATCTATGCTCCACGGTTGCACGTGAATGGTATCGATTTTGAATAATCAAACTTTTGGTCTTATGATAACATTTCTTGACACATAGAAATTTCTCCTCATGGATCAGATGCAGATACAACGCAGGGGCAATTGTGAAGCTGTCAATTCAAAATATGAAAAATGTGTTTTATTATTATATGCCTGGAGATGACGGACCAGTTCCAGTTTCTACTGTACAGAAGCAGAATCAGCCGATCGTAGATCACGACTAGATTGAATCAGCTGGAAGATGTCACGTTGTATGTTTATATTTTCGAATGTTCATCCATTCAGTATGTCAAACTGAGAATGTCTTCAATGTTTATTGCTGTTATTCGTGAACACATTCTTATGCTAAATGGGACTCCAGATATGTTCGAATAGCTGACATCTTGTGCGGAACTGAGATTGGTGTGTTCAACTTCCTGTTCTGGGACCAGGATGGGGCTAAGCTAGCCATAGTTTTAATGCAGTCTTGAGGTCAGAATGTGGATATATGTAATGGTCGTTGAAAAAAACTATTTGTTTTGAAAATGTAACATTATTGTAGACGTCTGCAGAAAACATTCGGTTTGTGTAAAAAATGAGAACTCGTTTTTTCCAAAGCAGCTGTCATCCGAAATGCCCTACATGAATGTTTTGTAGCTGTTCACACTGATAAGGCCAAATAGCAACTTAAAGTATTATATGTGCTACATGGATTCTTTTATCAAAGAACTTTATATACATGAAATAATGACAATATTGAATAATGTCACATAAGGCCAGTATGTTAAATGAGGAAGAAATCTTTAAAAAAAAACAAAACTAAGGAGGAAATAAACCTCCACTCATGTTCATTCATCTTAAGTACTTGATTCCAAAGCTGCACAGGAAACCTGTGTAGGGGGTATATATTGGCGGGCCAAGCAAAAGAACAACGCAATCTCTATCTCAAATAATACACATCCTCGTTAAGAAGAAGGAAGGACTTTCTAAGTGGAATTAACATAATGTGGATTTTCAAAAACTTAAAGTATTTACTTGACCTTTCTGGTTTCACAGAAATGAACCGTTTCTGTCAAAACGCTTGACACCTCTAACTTTATATACCACTTTCCCACATAACAAACTAATGCAAAACTTTTTTGATTCATGTTTACTGTCTGGTTTTGGCTTCAAATGATGTAATCATGGAGACATTTACATATCTGTCTTCTCGACAATTTGTCAGAAATGACAAATGTTTTAACATGGCTACCTTATGAAGATAGAATGGTTCAGGTGGCTTTAAAGCAGTGAATTTCGATGCACTACACTCCATAATGAGAAGAACATCTTCCGAGTCCAGTTAGCGGGTTACTTCCCTGTAAATGCGAACTAATTCTGCAATATATGTTACTATGGGAACGGGTAGCACAAACATCAGGGAAATGCAACGTTCTGTGTCAATCTCCATTGTCAAATATTACGTGCACTGTAAACTTAGCCTTTTCACGACGAACAGTCAAACTAACTCATTAAACGACTCACGTCTCTTAAACTACACTGAAATCAATCACAGACGATTAACACTATAAATATTCCTATTAATTGTACATTTTATTGTCTGACATAAAACCGTTAATAAGTAATTGACAAAGGATGGGGTACTTCCCTCAAGACTAGATTCAGACTTTGGGAGTCTGAGAGGCTCTGGTGCACTCCTACATAGCCCGAGGGTGACACTGAACCTGGAGTGATAGGAGAGTCACAGCATGCGACTGCTTCATCAATAAAACTGCCCGTCAGTCAACGTCAACAATAGCGACCTGTATCACATGCTTGTGGTGTAACTGATGAACATTTGGTGATGACATTGTGTGATATTGAAATAAGGATGCCTCATTCATAATGTTAACAAAAGTGTAAACCAAAGGAATGCAAGTGAAACACCAACGTCGAACGCATTGTAAACCATATACACAATGTTGACAACTGGAACACCAACGTCAAACGCATTGTAAACTATATACACAATGTTAACAACTGGAACACCAACGTCAAACGCATTGTAAACCATATACACATGTACAATGTTGACAAAAGGAACGCCAACGTCAAACGCATTGATTGCAAAGTAAACCTAACGTCAAACGCATTGATTGCAAAGTAAACCTACATGTGGCATATCCACAACTTAATACAGAAGTACATATTTACCTTTGTGAGCAAAATGTCCGATGTGGATAGAGAGAGTGATAGGCTATTTAGGAGAAATATTTTATCGACATATTTATGAATTAGTGGAGTAACATTTAAATCGAATGGCTACATTTTCAATATATATATTATCTTCTATGATGCAATACTTTTTATTGAAAACGTATCTAATAAGACACCTACCTCGGTGGTATCAACGTTGTTTTGCTGTCATGGTAAATCTGTATCTCTCTTGAATCACTACGCTCCAGGGCTCTGGTCGTTCCACTATCACTTGCCCGTTGATTCGTTCAGATATGATGGGCCGAGTTCATCTCCCTCGTGCATGCCCAGGGTACATTCTGAAGCTCTCGGCAAGGTGATTCAGTCCTCCTACAGCGCTGGGTATCAGCACAGAGAACAGATCACAACCTGCCAGTCGTTACACCTTCACTGCACTGAGACAGATTGTGACGCACTCCTGCCGCCTTGCATGTAGATTATTCAAAGCTGCAAGGGAGAAAACAGCTGTTTAGCAGGAAACATCTCTTTAGCTTTAACGCACTGGAAATTCATAATTATCCCATGCACGTTCATTTGTGTCGAGTCGCGTGATGGGAAAATGTGGAGGAGGATGCACTGCAAAGCAGACGACACTTTGGGGGAAGGAGCAGACGACATTTGATGAATCTGATACGGAACGTGGGACTGTGTAGGCGATGTATTTGACAACACGGTTGATGGTGTAGACGACACAACACTTCATTTCCACTGGTGCTAAAGTTGTATGAATGGATGAGTGTTTTGAGGCAAGTTGCACTCGTGACCAATGCCACGCTACTTACGATACGCAGACGACAGAATCAATTTGAACCAAGTTCAAGCAATCCATTAAACGAAAGAGTCGGCATCGGAGATAATTATTGTTTAAACTTGATATAGCATATGATATGAAAATATCCGCCCCCCCAAAAAACAATATTTTAAAAAACAACAACAACCCCCCAACCTCAAACAAACAAAACAAAACCAGAAACCAAAAGAACAACCAAAAACAAAACAAACAAACTAAACAAAACAAAGCAAAGCAAAAAACACAAGACAAAACAAAACAAAAATACAAAAAAAACCCCAACCAACCAAAACCAAAAACAAACAAAACCAAAACCAAGAAAAACCCAAAACAAAAAAACCCAAACTACCGACTCCAGAAAATAACCATTCCCTATTACACCCAGAACCATATTCCACCGAACATACCAGGGAGACTCGTTGCAGATTATGTGCATAAATCACAGTATGTCATTATCAACCCCAGGTGTTCCCCGATGTTGTATCACTCAGTTGAGGAGGAACTATAGAGGGGCGACACACGACACTTAACGATAGCATGAACGTGGTACATAATCGGTGTATGCATTCCGAACGAAAACTGGTCACGGCACGACTTGTATATAAATAACGTAATTATAACTATTTATTTCGCGTTCTGTATAATCGTGATTAAAACAGTTGTGCCGAGGATAATGTATTGTAATTATAGTAACTAAATAAATGGTTAGCGAACACTCTGTTCCAATATTCTTGGTTATTATTCAACATTAACAATTTCATGAATCATTCCATCAGTTCAACTCGGATAACCGAAAAATAAAACACAATGTCCAAGATCGTTATAACATTTTTCTATGCATTGAAGTTTTATCGCCAATAAGAGGACCAAAACATTACCTCATCGAGGATCAGAACAAATGGCTTTGAGTGAATTCTGAGACACACCTTATGTTAGAAGTCCCAGATGTCGTGTAAAACCAATGTTGACTTATGTTATTAATAGTTGCTTTCAAATACCAGAGGTTTAAAAAGTGCGCGAGGCACTTAAAGTCAATCCAAACGAAGTATGCACGCAGCCAAGCCAAGCTTCAGACAGACACAGCAGCTTCGCGACATGTGATGCATCAGAGGTTGGTAGGTCGGTGATAATTGTGGTGTTAGGCTGTTGTTATGTTATTGTTACGAGGAAGTATTACGCGCTGTGTGTTTGAAGCGCAGTGAAGGCAATAACCCAGTGTGTACGAGCGAGTGAGATGAATCTAACGGCGCATCAATAGGACCCTAGTTACATCACGGCTGGTGAGTTTGATGTTGGAGGACAGCTCGAAGTGATACAGGTCACACTTTAAAACTTTAGTAAAAGCCACGAACACGGACTTGAAACCTAATAGGGAAGAAACGGGATTCGACCCCAGGATCTTTGGTTTCTGGCATGCTCAAGGGAAACAACTCTGCTCAGGGAATTTCGTTCGGGTTGTCTTTTCTTTACTTCTCCACCCAATCACAACATTTTTCTTCACGTCACTACACAACCTCGAGAGTGAGACGTTGAGTGATATCGTGAGTTAGACACTGAGTGAGTGAGTGAGTTTAGTTTTACGCCGCACCCAGCAATATTCCAGCTATATGGCGGCGGTCTGTAAATATCGAGTCTGAACCAGACAATCCAGTGATCAACAGTATGAGCATCGATCTGCGCAATTGGGAACCGATGACATGTGTCAACCAAGTCAGCAAGCCTGACCACACGATCCCGTTAGTCGCCTCTTACGACAAGCATGGGTTACTGAAGATCAATATTCTAACCCGGATCTTCACGGGTTTGTAAACTGAGTAAAACTACACAAAGTGTCTCCGAAGCACGTTAAGCATTACTTCTTTCAGTGGCATATTAGAAGTTGGGAAGTACAATATAGAACAAACCTTATGTATAACAACTTCTTTTATTCGTGAGTGCGACGTTTCGATACGGATTCTTGTACCGTTCTCTACAATGGTACATGAATCTGTATCGAAACGTCGCACTCACGAATAAAAGAAGTATTTATCCATTAAGTTTGTTCTGTATTGCACGTTAAGCGTTTGCCATTTTATCGCCATGAGTCGAATGTCATTCGCGCTGTCGGTATTTACTTCATGAAACGATGCTGATTACAAATATAACATAAAAACACATTGCCTCACTGTCGTTCATCTTTTCTGAATATTCATGAGATTTTATCAATTTTATGTGATCGACCAGGGGAATTCAAACAAGGTTGCAAAACCACGTGAAAGGTTCCTTTGGGTGATTAAGTAACTGATGCTGGAGTTCGCCAGTAAACGGCGGATATGGACTGGCAGCTAACATTTACAACGTCCACGTTTTGCATGTGGCATTTTCAGACAGGGCCCGTATCAAACCTTTTGAAGCGTTTTTATGCAACGTTAAAGATGAAACAGGATACCATCGCAAAACGGTACATAATTAGTAATTACAAGGTTTCATCACTCACGAGGGCACGCTAACATTAAACGGCCACGAAAGTGTAAACCACTGTAGTCGAATGCTGAAACTCACTGCCATGATGATGAATCTGAGAATATTTATTAACGTCAACTTTAGTTCCACTCCCGACGTCATGCTATCCAACTTTTGTATTTTGTGATACTTTAGAGACACTAAAATATGCAAATAAATTACAAAAAAGGATTGATGAAAACTGACAGAACCGCTACGTTTTGACAGAAGGACGTCACGTCATCAAAGCCTTAAAGGCACTATTTCACACCGCATCTTTCTTAAAAGCTACCATATAATAAAAAATTAATGATTTATAATTATAATGAAATAATAAAAAAATACGCATTTAGATTACAATGTTAATAAGTCATATATAATGAGATTCAAATAGTTCGAATGAATTAATGCAACGTTGAATTAAATCGACTCTCGCGCCCTCTACCAGGCGAACATTATTTCAAGCTATACCCTTGGAGTGCTCTTTCTACAACTCCCTTGCAGCCTAAAGTGAGTGCATATGCCCCGATATATATAATATAGGCCGAAAATGTGTGAAATTGTGCCTTTAACACTTGTGAATATCTAACGGTAGTAACGTTAATTGGTACAATTACCTCGTTATGTTCAGTCCTGTTAAACCTGGATGTCGAAGCTGAAGTGGCCAGGATGCTGTCTCTGTCAACCTGACCGGCAGTCGTTATGTCAACCTCTCCGTGAGTGGTTAATTAAATATTCAATAACGAAAAGTATCCATTGCGGAGTGTTTGTTCAGGGAGCCATGCAGCATGTTACCGATGCTATAATGCTATATGTCCTTTGTATATACTATTTCACACTGGTAACGTTGCTCAATCTCGAAAAATAATCGTCACAGTGGCAGCTGTTACCCGGACACACCTTAACGATTGAGCATTGCTTATAATGACTAATAGCTTTATAAAATATTTTGAAAAGTGGCTATAGTTATATATGCTGATTATTAACGTCAGTTAGGGAAACTGGGGACCGGTTCTTCACATATTAACACTAACAATGCTGTAGCCATCGTGTTGGGCCACATCACACGTGGGTGTATACCTTTCTTTACCCGGTAATTGGGCGTAATTACCGTTTATGGATTCAGTGAGTGAGTGAGTTGGGTTTTACTCCGCTTTTAGCAATATTCCAGCAATATCAAGGAGGGGGAAACCAGAAATGGGCTTCACACATATTGTACCCATGTGGGGAATCGAACCCGGGTCTTCGGCGTGACGAACGAACGCGTTAACCACTAGGCTACCCCTCCGTCCTTCATGGAGTCAACCAATATAAGGGTTAATGCTTACAGTGTGTTGTTAGTGTAGTTCACTGACTGAAATTCTAACTTGCGATCAACGTGGCCCAGTCGATTAACGATTTACTCCGATGTATTGACTGCTTGAATAAGGCGATAAATATGCAACCCAATTGTATTTTATGAATATAGTCTAAACAAATTTTTTTTTCGAAATCGGCCAAACGTTAATGTTAGCTAAAGGATGACATTAAACATCTATAACACGATCACGCAGAGAACAGGTCGGGATGGTGTCTACAGGGCTTCACTGAGCCGCCAGAGCGACGATCCAACAAGTTTGATCCACCTGAATCTTCACGAGGGTGCGACTGAATTTCAAGGATTTCAATTGTGTTGGGGTTCTGTTTATTCGGAACTCACAGACACACATTTAAAAACAGAATTTTCTTTTTCTAATATAAAGTAAACATGGCTTATTCAGTGTGAATGTCACTGCGTGGTAGGACGATGTAGACAAAGGCATCTGATGATGCGGGACTCTCTGTCAGGCGGTGGGTGATGGTGGAAGATGTCGCTGACGAGCTGGGAGCACGCATGTACACACAATTACAGAGTCATTACTATTGCCATGTCATTGTTATTTGGGTTAATTACAGCACAATCATGGCGTCTGATGATTCATGTTGGACCCAGCCTCTGTTCTGTGTCCACTGAGTGAGTGGGTGAGTGAGTGGGTGAGTGTGTGACAGTGAGTGAGTGAGTGTGAGACAGTGTGTGAGTGAGTGAGTGAGTGTGAGTGGATGAGTGTGAGTGAGAGAGTGAGTGAGTGAGTGAGTGAGTGTGAGTGAGTGAGTGAGTGGAGTGAGTGTGAGTGAGTGAGTGAGTGAGTGTGAGTGA